TCGTCTTCACGTTTTTTATATGAATCAGGACACCCAGACTGGTTATTGACAGTCGATTTTCTAGTTCTAGGTCTTTTTTCAGGCTCAAAACAGGATTCATTTATATAGGGCCTATAGTTTGTTATGTTGGCTAATATGATGATGGGAAAATATAAATAAGTAAGGACAGACTGAAATACCAAAGTCTCTCAAGATCCCAGTGCCACACCGACATGTTGTTAACTGGATATAATGTACCTACATGTGTGTGTGTGTGTGTGTATTCACAAACATATACATGTATTATATTAGCATAAATGGAGCACACGCTTTCATTGTTATGTAACGTGTTCCTGGAAAATGGATGAGGCCCCTCCCTTGGAAAATTGAGAAGCTGATTTGGCAGTCACCCAGTATTATAGTCATCTATTGTTTGAAGACTATACTACAAAATGTACGTTTGCATTCATTTATAGACATTTTATCTTTGATAGATTGGCTTTTTTGGGGATCATTCTTGACGCGCAGTGGCCTGATTTTTCCCTCGAATTGGGGTCTTGAAAAAAATTTGGGGGTCTTGAAAAAATTTTCAAGGATTTGGTGGGGACCCTGTACAATGTGTTTTTTAATGTAGACTGAGATAGTTTTTCATCCTTTCCGATCAAAGGCCTAATTATTAGCTTATGCTTCCTGTCAGGTCTCATTTTGTGAGTGTGAGTAACCAGTGTATGTCTCCTGACATCACAATTGAGATCATTTAGGAGGGGGATTCCAATCCTGGCTGTCAGTCAGGGCCTACCCAGGCTGAATGGTATTTACTATACAACTACAACATCCCAGCAGAAAGAGATACTCTTAAAATTCTTCCTACTCAGGAATCGAACTCAGGTCTGCTTCATGCAACAGTGAAGTGTCTAACCTCCAGACCACACACGCCTGTAAAACCAGTGATGCCCTTCAACATTCGGATGATATTGGCAATAGAATATTTTTGTTCAGTTTTAATCTTTATCCTTTTTTATCGTATCACGCAATACAGACAAAAGTCAGATAAGAGTTTATGTTATCCTTTGTATTGTGGTTTCATGTGTTCCTTCACTAAGTCTGTTTGTGTTACACTTAAACTGTAAATCACAGCACAGTAAGCTGGACTTCTTATTTACAGTACTGGCTAAACAGTTATGATCCTGGCTTTTTTGGCGCCATCCTTGCTCAAAGGTCCTGCCTCTTGATCTCTTGTATGTTTTTGAAAAGCATAGGTCGTTGGCAGGTGCTCTGGTGTGGTTTGCTCCTTCATTCCTATCAAACATGTCATACTTGTCTCCTCCTTTTTTGTCTTTGTTAATCTCTTGAAACACCTCTAATCTTCGGCACTTATTTTAATTTGTGTTGCAAGTGCCATAAAACTCTAACTAAAGTTCTTGAACAGCGCTTTAATACTTTATTGCTTTCTTTTTTAGAACAGTGAAGTGGTTCAATCAAATGGCAGGAAACATTGTCATGCTACTATACGAACCAAACTTTGTTCCAGTTGTTTTTACATCTCTGCCCTTGTGGATTCAGATTCTGATTATCATTTTAACTCATGGTGGGTCACTTTAGAGATTTAGATTGATAATTTTAGGAATTTTGATAATTTTCTGCTAGCTTGTGACATGATAATTGGTGCTATTAATATAAAACTTTTGGAGTGACTTTTGTAGAGATATATGATCACCTACTTTTTGGGTAGATAAGAATCCGCTCCTGCGTAATACCTAACTGTAAGTCAATGCCTTCAGTGTCAGGTATGTCCCTCTTGTAGGCCCTTTTTTTGCTATGTCTGTGGTACTTGTACTTACGAAGTACTGTTGATCTATCTCTTTTTTTTAAAGCTAGTCAAGTACTAGTATTGCTGGAAAAGGTACATGTCAGTCCGGGTTAAGGGGATCCACTGGTCTGATCAGTAAAAATTTTGAAAAAAATATCAGTTTTCGGATTTTGGAGTACCTTAATAGTTATCAATATCAAGGATCCATCTTTAGAAGCCTAATTCCTTTATCAAACTTAGAAATAGCTGGAAAATGCATTTGAGAGAGGTAGCAATGTAGGAAAATCTTCACCAAAAATTATCTCTCTTTGCAGTTTTCTCAGAATTGTTTATCTGACCAGGTTGCAACACTATTTTGAGTAGATCTCAGAAAGTTACTGTCAGAATTGTTTCAAACTTGCACACAATCTTTTATACACATTTCTCTATAACCTTACAGTAGCATTTTTCTTTTTATGGTACACATTTGAAATTTTAGGCCTTTTTTATTTTACAAAATCTTAAAACATTGGAGACCTGAATGTAATGTAGTGCATATCAAGGACTGTAAGGCTCACAAGTCAGTACAGAAATTTCAAATTTGGCTCTGTAAGGTTATTCTACCTACCAACAGTAATCGCCATGCCAAATATTAGGCTTCTACATGTATCTTGAAGCATGTTGATGATTGACAAAATATAAAATTGGTTTTAAAAATGCTGAATCATTCCTTTATTTTTGATTGCTCGAGATTATTATTGCTAAAATCTTGAATTTTTTGCTTGGTAACCTTTTTTTGTACTATGTCACCCCCTTTGATGCAGAAAAGCAAGCGTTAGACCAAAAACTATAGCATTTGGTTGTTGATCATAGCTACCACCCCCTTAAGTTTGCTCACAATATTCACAGTACTTACAAGAACCATTGTTACTGTTGATATATTATCAATCTAGATCTTTGGGGAGGGGTATCATCAAACTTCCATTATAATGATAATATGATACTGCTCTCTTGTCAAACAGTTATTATTAATATTATTATAACAGAAATTGGCACAGGTCATCCATTTTACTCAGCAAGCTGCTCACTTTTCCAAAGGGAATTAGAAATTAGAAAAGCATGTTTCAGTTTCAGGTCAACCTAACATTACTAACAATTGACATCCGACTCGTGCTAAATAGGATAATTGATGAAAGGACTTTATTAACCCTGTCCGTACGCCCGGAGGTCATTTTGTACACCCGGGTTTGTATTCTTCACATTTTAGAATACATCTAGTGCGAAGATCTCTTTTAAACTTTCTGTATTTCTCAAAAAATCATTTTGAAAGACTGCAATGCAAAGTGTACGGATTGGATTAGCTAATAAATTTCCTCTGTGGAAAGTGGTGGCACAGAGTTCCCCACGTCGTATGGATACGATAGTAAAACATGACGTACGGATAGGGTTAAGGAGGGTATCCTCGTCCATTTATTTCAGATCTTAGTGATTTCTGGATTTTTTTTACGACAAATGTTATAATACATTATACATGTAACAAACTTGTATGGCAGCTGCCTTAACTGTACATGTATTATTATATAATAGTTTTTGGTGATAAACAAAAGCATATATGCATCATCATATAGCCTAATTCAAAGACTCAGATTTTATTATAAATTCTTTTATTTCAATCGTCATCAAACAAGTAACAATTACACTGTACGTATGGGACTGACAGACAGAAAATGTGACTAGCTTGTCGCTGGTCTGTGATGATAATCCTGTGGAGTTACATTTCTACAGAACAGCTGAATAATTAATTAGTTTGAGCATCATGTACAGTTTAGCCCAATTACAGTCGACTACGGATGAGATGATGTCGTAGAGGGAGTGAAAAATATATCGACTCGTCCAAAGTTCAACTTAATTAATTCACCATTGGAAAAGGTAAAGAAGAAGTGCTGGGATCCGAGAAAAAGACTGACTTGGCCAAAGGTCAATACATGTACCAGTGGAGTCAACTGTATTAAAAACATCAGTTTTCCCACAATATCCCTCGGAATGGGATTCAGCTCACACCCAAATCAATATAATATATTTTTATGTCTTCTCTGATCTCATAAAAATGTTAGTTTGTAGCATCACATTACTCATTTTGGATAGCGACAGTGGAGTCTGCTTAACTTGAACCAAACTTTGGTTTAGCCATGTTTTCCAACTGAAATAGCTATAATTCATAATTTCAGCAGCATAGATGATAGACTTGAGAATACCCTGCTTGTGACAAATTTAAGTTTTTAAAACTTCTTTTCCCATCAACCTCTTTCTTTCAGTAACTAATTTGAATTACAAGCTTACAAGCTGTACTGTACACATTGTGCTTTCTCTTTGACATGATTGTCAGCTTGCTTGTGATACTACATGTAGTACATGTATTGCTAGTAAATAGAGAAGAGATGAGAATAAGAAATAAAAGCCTGAAAAACAAAATGTGCTCTTGTGTGGGGCCTATTTGAACTAGCTTTGCAGAGACAATAGTCAAAAGGTCATGATCAAATGAAGGTCGCATGACAGGATATATCTTTGAGTCACAGAGCCTACACATTGTGTATGCCTATTGATGAATGTGAGCTAAATGAAGGCAAAAATAGATTTAGTTAGCAGTACAGTGACATTACCTCTCTCTCACTCTGGGCCCGAAATCGTCACATGCATTCTCATTGCTTGTCTCTTTCTTCTGTTTCGCTAGTAAGCCGAAAAGAGAGAAAGACTTCATGATTTGCATTACTTGAGGGTTACTAGTAAAGATTTGGATGACATAACCATCAAATTACTTTTGGATTATAAAATGAGATGATTTCAACTAATCAACGGTTTTCTTACAAAGACAATGAATTTAAAATTGGGGATTTTTTAATTTTCTTTTAGTTTGCAGCTGTTTTTAAATTAACTGTATTCCTTTTAAGTAAGCGGCCTCCACTGTAAAACGTAAAGTATTATTATGTACAGTCCGTTCAACCAGATGTGCACTGGCACAATCAGTAGAGGGACCCTCGGCAACATTTTGGAGAGAGCAACGGAGCATCAATGGACATGTCCGGAGTGCAGGGATGTTGCTTCCTGAAACAAGAACAAGAACAAGATGTACAGTCTGGCATGCTTTAAGTTTAATGTAGATATGGAGAACATTCACGTATAGCGAACATTTTCAAGTCCTAAATTTTGTTCTTTTATCATGAACATTTTTCGTATTTGAAACATGGGCATGGCGAGAAATTCATACAAAATGATGAAAAGACTTCTGCATCCAGCTGATTTCACTGTGTGCATGCTTGACTGTATACCATTATCCTGCAGTATGCATGATACAGTGCACATGTTGTAGAATATTCCCACTCAATAGCAGCAAGTATGGTAGACTGTTCCTTCTGGTTTACAACACACTTTTATGCTGAATTGTCTCACAAACGAGCTCGGTTCTGGGTATCTATTGCTAGTTTATCACAATTTCTCATGAGAAAAATTCACACTGCTTGTTGATGTAGAGTAGGGTTTCCTCACAATAAATCAGCAAATTTTAGGTACTTAGTTGTAGGCCCTACATTTAAATTTAAACTGTTTAAAAAAAAAAATTGAATTGGTCCCAATTCATTTTATCAGTTCTACTGAATCTAATAATAGTTTTATAGCTTACTTACTTAAAACTTACATAATATATAGCAGTTAGAAAAGTAAAGTTCTTCATTGTTGCATCATTGCATGGGAAGTAAATTATAAGGGAAAGCACAATTTTCATTTGAGACAAGTCACAATGTGGTGGGAGACCCCATCAAGCATTACTACTTGATTTTGTAATTTTTGTACATAAAAACAAAAATAATAATAAGAATGATAATAATGTAGAACTTGGGATTAAAGGGAAAGCCTAATTTATGTCAAGAACTAGTCAACAAGGTCAACATTCTGTTATTTCTACTGTCAAAAGCATGAACAAATTTTAATCTGTCAGGACCACATTACTAAAGACATACAAATTGCCCATAATTCTTGAGCCATTGTGAATGACAATTTGTAACAACAGCAATTACAAGAACCCAAAAACTGCTATCTGAAAGAATTGTTCTCACAGTTTCTTATACCACTACATGTACCAAGGTAGGCCTACCGTCTTTCTTTAAACAAATCATCAATTGAATTAATTATACGAACGTATATATATTAATGTTGGCCCTACCTGAAAAGACATTCTTCAGGGTGCATAAAACCACGGGGACAGATTAAAGTAAACTAGACAGCTTCAATATAATGCGTCCAATCCTGAAAAATAGAAACATCTCAATGACTACTAAAATAAGACTTCTAAAAGGCTGTTTGTGTTGAACCATTCCCTACTGAGGTGAATGCTGGACAATTACCAAAGGTAATGAAAATAAAATAGAAGCAACAGAAAAGTGTTTTCTTTGGAGACTTGATAATTTAAGGGACAGAAAAAAATTCAAACGAAATGCTGAAAGAAGCCCAGGTGGACTGCTTAGCAACAAAGGCAGTTTTGGGGACACTTGACTCGACATAAAGGCTTTGAATATCTTGTTCTCACTGGCAAAATAAAATACAAATAAGGCAGGCGCAAACCCAGAGACACTTATTTGGAATACATCAACAGATGGGTGACGGGGGAAGCACCAGGATAATTTGTGATTTTTTAGAGCACCTGTGAGGAGAAATGAATGGATAGGCCACTGCATTTGCTGTGTATCCATTTGGCACAGGTGGTGCATCAGATTGAGTAACCCTGGTTGGTCACGTTCCTGTTGCATGTTGTGCATGGGTACATCTCATCAAGTCCAGGGATGATTTCGATGTCACCGGCCATTATTAGCAGGAGACTCAGATCAGCCGGTTCGGCTGAGCCTCCAGAAAAAAAACCTGGTCGCCTCCATTCCTGTCTGAATCCAGGGGTTGATTGGTGTTCGGCCCGGAGCTGTAGGCCTACTTGTTCCGGGGTCTGCAGCACCACGTAGAGATCCCAATAAGGACTGCACCTACACCTACAATGGATACCGAGGACACAGCGACACCCACGGGATCCACCGAGCTGATGCCCTGGCCAACAAGGGAGGCCATCTCGACCAGTCCAACACTCCAGCCAGTCGATCTCACGTCAGCAAGCTCGGGCATCTTGCATTACATCATTGTTCACATGTGGGAGAAAGCGCGAGTGCACGAGTGAAGCCACCACCACAGAGGGACAAAGAGAGAGACCTAAACGTCATACAGAGAAGAGTGTTATCGCAGCTAAGATGCAACGCAAAGAGCCCCATCCTGCAGGCAAACCTTCATGCTATAGGCTCCGCTCCCAATGATTCCTAGCTGTCGTGTGTCACAAGTTATGACGACCTGCAGCACGCACTGTATGAGTGCCCACGGGGGGAAGCACATCGAGGCCCGCTTATGGAGAACAATGTGCGAGACGGCCTGGATGTACTATGGACGAGGCCACACGAGGTTGCCTCTTACCTGTCTGCCTGCGGCACACTGCCGCCCTCCTAACGGAGGCCAGCCAGAGGAAGGAAGGAAGGAAGGAAGAAATGAATAGGAAAAACATATTTGCCGATGTCTGTTTCTATCTGGCACTTTATGATGATGACTTGTAGTACTTTTGGTCCACAAGTTAAAAATTGAATATAATATAAGATTTATCCAAATTATCTGACTGAGTAAAACGCTTTTATAATTCTTCTATGAATACGGTACATCATGTTCATATGATACTGTACATCTCATTTAATTAAACACATGAACAAAGAGGTTGTTTACAGACTAAACATTTACATCTTAGAAGTTCATGCGTTCGAGATGAAAGAAGAAGATGTAAATGAGTAAATGCTGTCTCTCCCACAATACATGTACATTACACCAGTGCAAAAGACTGTTACACTTACACTAATACTAATAGTAATAAAACTTTCATGCTATCACTCTGCTGCATGACAGAACAGGAAACAGACCTTTTTTTTCCTCAGATGCTTTTGTGCCAATGTAAAGCAGATTCCTCAAGGTTTTATGAATTTGTGCGTACAGAACATGAATGAATTATAACCTGATACTGATACCCATGTGTGAGAGAAAGAGAGATTCAGCCAATACAAGTGTGATAGTTTTAGTACAGTACATAATGAAAAGAAGATTTCTTATTGTCATTTATGCAAGAAAAATTAATAGCCTACCCCGGTCACTCCATTTACATGTTGAGTTACAAAAATAGGAGTCACTCATTTTTCTTTACACTGTAAATGATGCAGCTGCAAAAACGAAGTAGGCCTACCATTTTACCTTCAGTTTTTTTTTAAAAATTCATTTTTTTGTCCTATCTTAACCTTACTTGTGGGTTCTTGAAGGGTGTTACTGCTTGATTCAACTTTTTAAAAATCTCTTTATTGTTTCTATCTGTCTGTCTGTTTTACTTCTTTTCTACAGTTTAATGATCTTTATATTGTTAATGCACTTCTTTACTTAAAACAAATCTTAACAATAGGCACCCCAAAGTCAAAGCCATGGCCTTCACAAGATACTCTTAAACTTAAATGTAAGACAGAAGTTTAAACTTTTTAAAAGTTGCTGGTACCTTTTGAAGAACAATTATTTTTGCAGGCAATGTTATTATTCGGCCCAACAGAACCATCTTAAAAGAAAAAAATTCAACTTTATGTCTCGCTTCAGAGTTCAAAGAGCCATGGAGAAAGGCTTCAAATGGCAAACATTCACTTATAAGTACATACATCTTTGTTAATATGATTCATGACAATACATGTAGGCCTATGTTGTGAAACTGACAAAGAAAACAAAATGTTCAACGATTCTCAGAGAAGCCTAAAAGAAGTTTGTTATGTTATATTATACGTGAAATATAAGAACAACTGGTGTTTCAGCAACTTCAAGTGTAAGTAACTTCTGTAAATGATTTTTAACGAGAATGGAAGAGATCGAGGAGACCTTGTTCCCTTCAGCTCTGTAAGTAAATGTAGCTAAGTGCACATATATACATAAAGGCTCAAGGATAATAAAAAATAATAATATGCAAACTTATTTGAAAATAATGTAACAATAACATCCAGGCCTCATCAACAAATTATGTGCAACAGCATGACAAATTGAGTTGCTTGTGCAAGTCAGCTTTTTGTGAGACAGTGTGGTGAAATCAGGTGCACGTCAAAATAATGAAATTGAAGAAATCGCCATTTGGTTGCCAGTTTGGCAATTTTTATCGATTTTTTGTGTTTTTGGTCTACACCTTCTACGTCCATTTAAAAACATTACCATGTGGATATAATGAAAAATCTTGATTAAAGGCACACAATATGTAAACTGTAGTGGCCATTTTCTCGATAATTTTACCTTTTTAACCGAGCGATCTTCATCGGCTTCAATAACGAATATCTCGACTTCTTTTCAAGATAGATGAGTGTTTTTCTCATCAAAAGCGAGAGAAATGAAGAAGCTATTAAGATAATATCAATAACACCATGTGCCCAAAAATTGATGAGCACCTGATTCCACCGCGTCATGACACATTTTGAGATTTTGGAAAAATTTTGATTTTCTCAAAACTGCATTTCCCGATTCCCCAGCTTCAAGTCATTATAACAACTGTGGATCTCAAGCAGCTAGACCGATACTGTTTTCACCTACCGGTACTTGTAGGGCTTGAACAGATCTGTAATCATTTGACACCCATAGTGCTACATGTAGTTGTCAAAATGCAATAAACGACGCACTTTGTTTTGTTAAACTGCTATACAAACAGCCTACTAGTAGATATTTGTAAGGTATGACTGACAATGGCAAGGGCTACAAGGATAGTTATAGTAGCAGTTTTCCCATACGCTTACATTTTTTTAATCAGCTGTGGAAAAATTTAATAAAATGTATCTGAGTTTTTTAATACTACAGATGGATCAAAGTGCAAAAAAAATTTCATTCTTTCCTTACTTTCTCTCTAAAATATTATCCCTCGACATATATAAACAAAGGAAAGTAAAACTTTACAAGGAAAATAATTCACAAGGACAGTATGCGAAGAAAATAGAAACTCAATAAAGTCAACTGCAAACTGCAATATTGCTATATATGAGGTGTGCAAAAAAAAGTGTCAAGTAAGTTTACCACACAGAAAAATGGACTTTGATGGACAAGACAAAAATCTTATAGAAGTAAAGCAAGGCAAGGAAAGAGAAATTGATATTATACATATCACATAAATCATTTGCATCTACTGGAACACATAGGTATGCTTTGTCAGGATACAGTCCCGTCGCTCGTGGCTTGGTGGTTCCGAGAAGGGTTGTCTCTGGAGTCAGTTGTGGTACCAGGAGAGCCGGTGGGTTGAGCTGAGCTATTCAAAGCTGCCGTAACATTCACCTGGTCTTTGTTATGCTCAGCGTTTTCGTCCTCATCGTCCTCACCTGATGGAGACTTGCCATTTATAATCCTGATCGGAGACAATAAAGAAGGAAAATAGTAGAGACTTGGAAACTACTGACTGCATGTATTACAGGAAGTGCGAAAGCAAAATAGCAATTTCACAGTTCAATTAACAACAGCAACATTTTCTTGTTGCATGAGGCACATGACCTTTGTAACACCACTGCCACATGATTTAAGTGAATTTCTTCCTGCCAGATGAATAAACATTGTTATTTTCATGAATGCAAGCGCCCTCCTAGCTTATTATTCAAATGAATACATAAATTACAACATGTACTCTACCTTGATATACACTGTCAAATGCTACATTGCTAAAGTCACAGGAAATGATAGTAATTTTCCTCAAGTATAATGGAGCCGCTTATTAGAAAACTGATATTCAAACTTGTTTAGATTATAAAGTGCATAGAGTAATAGAGCTTGCTGTTGAGAACGGGGACAAATGCTTATTGCTATCTATCAATTATTATTTCACTATCAGGAGCGGAGCTAGATCTCTTGATGGTATGAAGTTGTTTTATCTAAATCATTCCGCCCCATTGAAGGGGTACTCACTACTCACAGTTCTCTGTTGTAGTAGTGAAATCCCTTGAACAGATCAGGTGCTGTGTCTAATGATCTGTTCAGACTCTGAGAAAAAAAGCAAAAGCAGACGTCAGCTTTTTCACTTTGGCTGCATACAAAAAAAAAAAATATATAGGCCATATATGATATAATTAAATCTATTATAATAACTCTACAAGACACAGGACGCAAACATTTTGACATCAGACTTTAACTAAGCTTTGGAATCAAAGTACAGACAGGATGAGCCTCTAAATTTTTTAACGGAAAACCCCATGATAATGACATATATCACTGAAGATATCGAACACTTTATAGAGAAACAAGAAAAAGGAATGAAGAAATAGATGATACACATATTTTCAATAAGGGCAGACAACCAAGGCTGCTCTAGAAACAACACTGAATTCTAATTGTTGCCTCCCTTTACAAAGAATCTTTCAGAACTCATAAAACGCCAGGACCTATAATATTACTTTATTTGTTGATTTGAGTCTTGACTCGGATAGGAATTTGAAATTCGTTTGAAGCCCCGGAATGGAGTAAGGCGCGAAACAGGTATGTTCATTCTACAAACAGGAAGTAAAACCCCTAACTAGTGGGTATTGTGCGTCTTTGGTCAGCATCCCAAGTGATATCTTTTGGGGGATTTTTTAAGGTGTTTTACAGCGCTCGCAACTGCATAAAGTCATATGAGGAGCGCGCGGGACACATTAAACATTTTCGGTTGGTAGGAAAGTTTGAATTTTGCCCTGATGGCGGCCGAAGCCTACTCTTATCGATTTTAGACGACCAATGGATCATTAACGTGCATAACTTAAACACAGAACCTCCGAGATTTTTCACCCTTGTCCGAGAAGGTTACTTAGGTGTAGATCTTTCTTACCAGAAGATCAGGGGATGTGGCTGAAAGACAGCAGTAAGAAGGAGCCAAGGAGTAGCAGTAGAAAAGCTGAGGAAAGAGTCAGGAGCTGAAAGGAGGGGACAAAGGAGGTGAGAGGGGGTGGGGGCAGAAAGTGGAGACGAAAGCAGACGACAGAATATTGTTAGAAAGCTGGAAAGGATGTGAAAGGAAAACATTTTTAGAGAAGAAAATTTTCCGTTGTTATCCGGATTCGAACACGTGACCTATTGATTGAGAGGCAAACACCTTAGCCTCTAGGCCACGAGA